TAGAATTTGTATGGGATTCTCAGCTGAGTTGGGTAGTTAAGAGATGATTGCTTTAGTTAGTAAGGATTCCTGATTTCCAGCCAACAGAAGGTATCTTTAAAATACCAAGAATTAGTAAAATATATTATTATTTTCATGTTTGTGAGCTTTAATTTCAACCCGGGGCTAACTATATTAGGCAAGCAGTGTTAGTTAGAAGACTTACTACTGGAAGGATTCAACCCCCTGCACCTCTCCACCATACTAACAAAATTACCGGGGTCAACCATAGTATAGAGTGGTGTTCCCAAGAGCTAAACAGAGGTCACGGGATGACTACATGATGCCGTCATCCCGCGTGGCGAATTCTCTGTATAGAAAGAGATCATCTAACAAGGAGCGGCTCCCCAAATTCACTTCTGAACATTATTCTATTTTTCCAGAGCAGCTATCAATAACACTGGCAGTAGCAACATTATACGCAGGGAAAGTAACCCGCGAAGCACCCAGATTCGTAACATAGCAATATCCCCCCCCCCCCAACCAATTACTTCGTCCAAACATGTCAATATACAGCCATATCGCAACCAGCAAGGAGCGCCATGACCAGATCCAAGCCGAACTCGCTAGTGTAGAGAGCAGTCCAGAGTCTCTCCAGTCGCAAGAAAGCTACCTGGCCGAGCTCCGGAACGAGCTGACGAATACCAACAGACAGTTGTCGCAACTACACAAGATCACCAAAGGGAACCGCGAGCTGCACGAAAAGTACCGCGACAGCACAGTACGCCGCCTATTCTATCGAGCGAGGGGCAAGAGGGAGGAATTCGAGGCCAAAGCCGACCAGGAGATGCGCGATTACTACGACGCTCTAGCCAAGGAGAACCGTGCGCAGGCGCAGCGGGAGATGCTGGAGGCGCAGGTCGAGGACGCGGTCGCTCAAGAGAAGGAACTCCGGCGTGCATGCACCACAAGGGAACGGTTGCATGCCGAACTGGATGCCATCTACAAGCGGATCTTTGAGGGACGGACGGCAGAGTTCCCCGAGGAGGATGCGCAAGAGGAGACAACAAAGCAGGCGCGGCGCGAATATGGGCAACGGCGCGAACGATGGAGTGATCTTCGGCAGGCGACGCAGTGCCTGGCGCGAGCGCAGCTGACACTCCGGGAGGTGCTGCTGAATTTGGCAGAAACGCTGCGGTACTGTGAGAGGGATCTGTGGAGTTTTGGAAGCACCCTAGCCGATTGGCGGCAGCAGGACTGTCTGTCCCGGGCACAACAGAAGGTTACCCAGACGCAAATGCTAGTCGCACAGGCCAGACGACTGGATCCCAGAGTGCAGGCTCTGCCGGCCATGAACATTGTTGAGCACGACTGGGTTGGTGAGCTGGTCTTTGGCACCTTTCTGTTTCACACCGACTTTTTGAGCATGCTGCAGCAGTCTGTTCTCGAGGTGAAGCGTGCGGAAGAGGTTCTGGCAGCGCAACTTAGACAGGCAAAGTCCCGTGAAGATGATATGCAGGCCCAAGTGGAAGATGCGCGAATGGCGTTTGAGACCGCACAGCAAGATCTCCGCCAACTCAGATATGAGCTCTTCATGAAAACTGCGGATCCTCCACCGCCCTACACCGAGCCGATGTCTCCGGGGATCAGTGTCTAGACCTGACAGCTGCTTAACATAACAAGGAATTTGCCTCACCGTATGAAAGCATTATATGTTTCTTATAGTAGAGAGGCGTGAAAGAGAAAAAGGATTCGCCATTCCTCGCTCTAACAAATTCCTACGGACTTCCTGGGTGTACTTCACGTTTCAATACCAGTCTCTAAGAATTATAATAGTCTTCTATTTACAACACTGAAGCTGTTTCATCACTGAGGGATCTCGGGCAAAATAGCACTGAAGGGGTTGCTTATGCCAGATTTCCATCTGATTTTGTTGGATATCACCTATTATATATTTAATGCATTACTAGCAGGACCCAACCAATCTCCTTAGTAAGGATCTACTACTATTATAGGTACTGTCCTCTCTAGAAACCCGTTCTGATACCTTGAATATTCGGAGCATTCCACTCCGCGGCAGCCACGAAGCAGAGATGAGCCCTCTCTCGCGGTGATTCATTCTTCCGAATCCCACGCCTCTCTAGTAGTCATAAGTAAAAACAAATAACCTCCCTCCGTATCCATCACCTGCTCGATGGTTGCATCAGGAATGATCTCGTACGAAGTGAGGTTATAATCCAGGGTGACGTCGACCCAGCCGGTGGAGGGCTCAGACTCAGTGGTGTAGCCGCTTAGCTGGTAGAGCCGGTTATCAGGATCGGCAGACTGCCAAGCCCACCAGTTCTGGTCAATGAAGCCGTGGTGCAAGAAAAAAGACGGGGTCGCCGGGTGATCCGGACACAGCGAAGAAGTATGATCTTAGAATAGAGTAGTCAATGACTATAGTGTATGAAATCTAGCTATATATAGTCAATTTTTAGGTAAAGAAGTTGCACTAGATAAAATGTGACAAATATTTGTTCGGAAAGAAAAAGAAAGAAAAAAAGGGAAAAACAACCAAGCTACTATGATGCTCTTTTGCCTGGTCTGGTGTTCAATAGAACCAAGCGTATATATTGACACAGAGCCTAAACTAATTGTAACCATCAAAGTTTCGAATCACCAATCGTCCGACTAATATCGGACGCCCAACAAAACAACGGTTCCCTCTTTAAGCACTCCATAACAGGTTCTTCTAACACAATTCTCAATTCCCACAATGGCATTTCCCTAGCTCCACCAGAAACCGGCCTTGCAGGCATAACCCAACACATCCCACTAATCCTCGGATCAGGCAGATCAAAGTTCTCAACCGGGCCCAACACAGAACCAAAATTCAACCCATACACATCGAAATGGCGAATACTGCTCACGAATAACTCGGCCCATTGAGCCTGGAACGAACTCCAATCATCCAAGGTGTTGATGTGGGAGACGTAGCGGGTGGCTTGCTCGGTTGTGATGCTTCGGATCTCGTTTCTGATTGTAAGGCAACTTCATGAATGAATGAGATGTCGGCGATGGGGTCTGTGGTCTTGCGTGAAGTGGATTGAGTAGACAGTACGCATTGGGTGGTCATCATTGCGTTTCCTATATAGGTGCCTAGCTTGGGGTAAAGGATAGTGCGAATTTCGACGAGACAAGACAATGTGGAAAGGGTGTCTTTGGGTGTGGTTGGCGATGATGCTTGCTTTGCTCTGGTGACGGAGATCCAAATAAGCGCGGTGAGAATATCCCCATTTGTCAACTTCGGTCTGAATGTCTGGCCAGACTTCGTGCAGAACATAGAGTTGCACTTTTCCTTGAGCATGCTGATCTTTTCTGGAGACACTGCAAATCTCCGACTAACTGGGCTGCATGGAACTTTTGGTCTAGCTTTGAATTTATCCTGGACATTGTATGGGGCCGAGCTCTTTATCGATGCAAGCTGCTGCTTTTTTTGAAGCTGCGCAGCCATACCTGTGAGTGCCGGGTCGCCTCGACAACATGCAGCCAAAGAATCTAGAATAGCGAGGACCCCCAGTCCATCCATCATCCGATGGTCGAAAGTCAGGCATAACACTAGACCATCTGTCATCACATTGGCCTGGAATCGCAATACAGGGCTTGGATCGGTGGTGTGCAGATGGAGAAGAATTGGGACGAAATCAGCATGTTGCACATCATCGCACTCCACGGCGGAGGTTTTAGCGGCATGATGAATGACCTTAAGCATGGGTGACTCGTGCAGTGCTGATGCATCCGCCGGTGTGACTTGCATCAAGTTCTGCTTGCCCACAAGCTCTTCTATCATCACTGTTTCCGCTAAGGAAGGGAAGGGCGTCTAATAGGCGCGAGATGCCATTTCGGAGAACGGGGATGCCATTTGAGGGCGAGTCGAGCTTGAAAGTAATGTAAGTGAAAAGATAGACTGAAGGGACGATATGGTCCAATGAACTCAAAGTGAAGGGTTTAAAATTTCTGGGGGTGTCCAGGGTAAGAGATCTAGTATCATCAAGTTGTGCCATCTTGAATTGTTGTGATGAGTTTAGGCCCATGAACACTCACATCCAGGGTGGAAGGCATTTATTTACCCATTCTGTTGGTCAGCCCTTCTGGACCAAGTATGCATAATTTCTCAGTCGGAAAATATCTCTAGTAACTTGATTTCGCGAAGATCCTCGACTGCACTGGGACGGGCCTGTCAGCTGTCAGGAAAACACACCCCACCCTCCCCACGGTTATGCCCGCCTCAGCTGGAGATGAACCATCGATCTGATGACCATTTCACAATCACAATTTTGGATATTATTAGTCGATCTAGCCAAGTAGTATATCCATTCATGCAATATTTTGTGGGCCGGACGCCACTAGTTCCAAAGTTTGTTCAAGTGGAACATATAACCCTTCAAGACTCACCGTCTTTCCTCTCCGTCTCAACTATGCCATAGAAAGATGATGGTATATTTTTATAACTCCTTCCCATAATATATACGTCTTTGAATGCTGTTGGTGCAGTCAAAGCATGCAAGATAAATATAAAATCGAACGACGACATGGTGTAAGGCTTCATCAGCGATATGTGGCCCGAATTGGTTCTGAAGTCTGTTGGGGGCAGAAGAAGCAATATGTCTGCTTGATGCATCTCGGACTTAGTTGAACGGAGTTTGTGATACTTTGCCACATTTGCGTAGATATGATTTGATCTGGCTGAACTGTACAACACAAAAATCATAGATGATTAGCATGGTTACATTGGTTTCCATTGGAAAAAATGAAAATGGAAGAAAGAAAGTAATAGAATCTATTTTTCGGAAAGAAAGAAGGAAAAAAAAAAAAAAAAAAAAAAAAAGATAAGAAAAGATAAGAAAAGAAAAAGATAGCAATTGTGTTATTTCTGATCACAATATCTATTCATCACCAGGAAAACCGATGGTCTCTTTGGCTAAACTGTGTTTGAGTGGACTTGGAAGTTGAAATATGTAACCCGAACAGACATGCGGCTACAGCGAGTAAATCGAAAATCCCCATTATCAATGCCTTTTAAAATGATAGAAACATTCTGGCCAAGAGTAGCGTCGGCGGAAGTAATTGCGTTCGCCTTATGCCCGTCCAACCGATTTAGGGACACGAGGTGAATAGGAGCCTTCTTCGAAATACTGCCACCAAGAGATGGTAAAGAAAAAGCGGCGAGAAGACTAGGTCTCCTAGACCGAATAGGGGTTCAAAACATAAAAACATACAACAGAAAGGATTCGCTGGTGGTCACCCACCCAACTACTAACCTCCCGGCGTGTGGCTTAAGTACGGCTGAGCGGACGGGAAGCCCTGTTTTCCACACCCTGTGGTCGTATGTACTCATTTTAACATTTCTAATACTTATATACTTCATATTTCAACTGTATACACTGATGTTCGAACGTGACGGTAGTCACTACTACCTCTGCAAGATCAATACTAGCCTGAGCTCATAGTGAATACAGGATTTGATCGCTTCTATTAGGGAAGTGCATAACTAGCGTTCCCCCCTCACGGCAAGTATATCTATCCTCTCATCCCACGCTCCGGACCCTCACGCATGCTTCGCAGAATCATCTATCAAAGCTTCAATCAACATGGTCGGCCAGGCGTGCGTCCGTGGTACCCCTTCAAATAAGTTGACAGGTGCTGCAGCAGAAGCTGCAGCTAAGGTCAATAAGCTTCTTCTACACGAACTCACTGTGAGAGTCAACAATAACCCTTCTACAAATTTAGAGGAGTTGATACAGTTCAAGCTCAAAACCTATCCCCCTCTACGTCAACTTTTTGTAGACTCGGCTGTGGAGGCTGAATCAACGAAGAACACTGAAACCCCGTCTGGTCCTCCACCGGCTGTAAGAGAGGAATTTTTGATCCCTTCGGATGTTGTTGTCATACATCCATTGAGTATGGATGTTACTCGCGCAGCCCAGTCAGTCTCAACTTGCGCTAGCGACTCTTCCGAAATCCCGAGCACGATCAGAGGTCTCAATGATCTAATCTTACACAGTGACATACTATGGCATTTTGGATCGACCGCAGTACTAGGCATTACCCCAAACCTGGCTATGAAACTCGGCAACTACATCGATGTGGATCATCTAGCAATGGTGGAAGACATAAAACGCCAAAATTTGCGAGTTCCTATACCGGATACTCACGGTGTGTTGCAGCAAACCGGCACTACTCGGAACTTCGTCTTCATGTCCCGCGTGCCGGGACAACCGCTGGGTTCAATTTGGAAGACGTTGAGCCCCTACCAGAAAGCGTCGGTCCGAGAGCAGCTAAATGCCATCTTCAGTGACCTAAGGTCGCTCCCTTTTACACCATCCGATGAACCTGGTGCAGTGTACGGTGGAGGCACGCCTCGCCGGTGTAAAGATACCAGAAGAGAGACTCGTGTGGCAGACACGCCGATCAGCAATGAGACAGAGTTCAATCATTTCCTGTCATTTAATCCTCGGCGTGCTGAAACGAGCCATATTGTGATGATTCGATCATATATGACGACTAGACACAGACTGGTGATGACCCATGCAGATCTTCATCCTCGAAACATCATGGTTACTGTCACCCCTTACTCATCTAGCCCCAACGAAGTCGATGGACAGTGTCTACAGACATCCGAAGCCTTCACCGGTACAGACGACGTGCCATCGGAGCGAGTAACAATTACAGGTATAATAGATTGGGAAACGTGTGGTTGGTATCCAGAATACTGGGAGTACCTGAAAGCATTGAACACAATCTTTCCAGGATGCGATTGTGAGGATTGGTGGGAGTACTTGCCAACAACGATCGGGGTTTGGCCTAAGGAGCATGCAGTCGACCTGATGTTAGATAAATGGTGTCGGTGACCGGGCAATGGCATTTGGAAAACTGGTAATGAGATGCTCACACGGTATGAATTGAATGATATGATCTGGGCGGAGCGGGAAGATAATGGCTTCTATCATCTACTTTTATGCTTAGCTTAACTCTCGGTCTCAGTAATGAACGAAGTGCAAAAAATCAACAGCAGCGTTTCTATACCGAAGTAATCCATTGACCAGATTCAGATGTTTCAATACAGTTTGATTAAACTTTCTGGCGCATCGATCCTAGGGTCGTTCTCGACCCGGGGGCAATATGCAGTAGTCCCGTCTGCTCCATCCCCTCTAAGACTTCCATGATCCATGCCTGGCAGTTCCAGGTGGCACTTTCATTATTGACGGGATAATTTTGAATTATTGACAAAGCCAGGTCTTGTTCACCTGAAGGGATGGTCCCGCAGTACACTGCGTGCTTGATGCGTTTCGATAGAAGAGGATCTCTGAAGATGGGCTCTTCCACGCAGTAGCCGTCCTTGTTGAGCCCAACCTGAAGAACAATAGACTTTGCGTTGGCATCTTTTATCCAAATGGCCCAGTGGCAAGGCTCGTCGGTCTCAGCCCTATATATGAGCACCGTTAGACGACTGTTCATATTGTTTGTTCTATGAGGCATTGTCAATTATATCTATCACAAGTCTTCCCCAGAAGGATGAATTTGACTAACGGAGACATCATCGATTAAATAAAGAGAAACAACATAGGTTTTCTTGTTTCGAAGGAGGTGGGGACATGAGGAAGATGTTCATCTAGTCGGCAGGCTGGGTTGCCTCAGAAATTATGAATTAAGTCGAATGTGAATCGGATCTAAATGGAATTCACGTTCAGAGTGAATTTGAATTAAATTTATTTAATTTAATATTATTGTATTCTATTTCAAGCATTTTATTCACTCTAGACATCTCCAGGCCCAGACTACTCAGACTATTATCACACTCTTTGGTTCTGTGAAAAAACATTTCTCGCAGTGCATCAGGTCATTGCACAGACACAGTGCATATCACAAGTGTTAACCATATGGCCGTTGCGAGATATCTCGGTACAGACTGATTCTAGGTTTGAAATTGATGTACGGAGCAACTAACTAGTGGAGGTGAGAATGAACCACTTCTTCCCGCCAAACCCCGCACGTCCTTTCTTCATGTCTTCCACACCACATCATCTCAACTCTCATCAATAACATAACATCCGTTTCCAACTAAAAACCTACATTATGAATACAAACTTCCCAGAACCACACATCCACCTCCCCCGGGACCCTCACACCCACACAGCCATCCTCCTCCACGGCCGCGGCAGCAACGGGCCCGAATTCGCCGAGGAACTGTTTTCCTCTTCGACATCGGCGGGTCAAAATCTTCCCTCTCATCTCCCAACCTGGCGCTGGGTATTTCCAACCTCCAAAGACCGCTGGAATGATCGCTTCCAGGAGGAGCTATGTGCCTGGTTCGATGCGTATTCTCTAGATGATATCACTGAGCGCCAGGAATCACAAGTTCCTGGTTTGCGGGAATCTGTCTCTCATGTTCTTGATGTCCTGGGAAAAGAAATCGAGCTTCTTAATGGCAAGACCACACATGTATATCTAGGTGGGATTAGTCAAGGCATGGCAACTGCATTGTGGAGTTGGTTGTGCGCGAGTAGCAAGGTGCAGGGGAGATTGGGGGGAGTCTTGGGCTTTTGTGGATGGATGCCGTTTGCGGAGAGGTTTGACGATGAAGATTTGGATCGGGATTTGGATGGGGGCAAGCAGTTGGTTGAGTTTTGTTCGGAGCTTGTGGGAGTTTCTGCGAGTGAGGATATGAATGTCTTGGATACGCCTGTGCTTTTGGGCCATGGGACGGATGATCCGATGGTCTCTGTGGAATTGGGGAGGCAGGTGGTTGGGATTATGAAGCGGGTGGGGATGGAGGTCGAGTGGTTGGAGTATGTTGGGGCAGAAGGGAATGGGCATTGGATTAAGGCGCCGGAGGGATTCGATGCCATTTTGAGGTTTCTACAGTCAGGGAATGAGCGTGTGAAAGGGTAGTAACAGAGTTAGATTTATGGTCGCAGATAAATATGCCTTGATATTGAAATGGATAATGAGACCTAGAAAACGAGTGTATGATACAGTGCAACTGTTCACGTGTAGCCATCCTCACAAATTTCATCAAGAGTCGATTCTCCTCGACCATCGCTCTCTGATCTTTTGATTCATCTTCCTCCAAAGCAGCCTTCTTTAATGCTTGTTCTCGTACTTTCATTTCCTCAAATTGATCACTAGGAACCCAACCCTCACTCCCTAATCCAATAAAATCCTGGCACATTTTTATCTGCTCATCGTCTACATCCTGTGCGCTTGTCAACCTCGGACATTGTTTCGACTCAGTATGAGAATACACGAGTGTACAAGGTTGTGCATTGCTGCTATTGATGTCAACTAACTTGCGCGACCACTCAAAGAGATTTGATTTGAGAGTCAAGTTATCACCCTCCCATGGATAACTGTCGTAATGAAAGAGGCGTCTCAGTCTAGTAATAAATATCTCAGCGCATCGTAGTGTTTTGGATTTACCCCTGAAGTCTGCTTGACATAGTGGTAGTGAGGCTGACGCCTGTGGAATGATTCAGCCTATTGGTCATGTTCTTCTGATCCCAGCTCATTGAGGTTACTCGGTAAAGTGGGCTCCTGAAGAGACTCGGACACATCATCGCCGTATCTCTGTGGGGTGTTGGCAATGTCCCATTATAGGAAAATATGGAGTATGGTGCTGTGCTGCCAGTCATTCAATCCTTCAAGGTCGAATTAAACAGAGACAATGATCCTGTTCGGTGAAGATCGCGGGGTCGGAAGACTGAGCGATGAAGGCCTGGGACTTTAGGAGGATACTGGGAGTAGTTTGAAGATACTACTAGAAATATGTAATGTGGACGAGATGTGATTGCAGCTTAAAATTGTAAGTCTCCCTCCGAAGGCGCCGAAAGGGCTGAAAAGGGTTTTCCGAATCGGGAAAGGTATGCGATCTCTTTCTTAGCGCCCGCAATGAGAGCTGAGAGGCAGTCTGGGTCTGCGAAGTCTTAGCTACTGACCCAAGTCAATCCCGAATGCTCGTGGCAGCAATACTCACGTGGTCCACGCTCCACCGGCAGGTTAACTCTCCTTTCGTACCCTAGTCTGAGCGACATGTCAGGTCAATGCAGCATCACCCTTTCGTAGTCGGCAGCGAGTCTGTAATAACAACCTTACTACTGCCAGGCGAGTTAGAGCAATAATAGGAACATCCACTTGATAGGTCCGCAGTGCAAATAGTCGTGACTCAATCTTCATAATTCCGGTGAGGAGTTTCGTTCTCTGTTCCGGGGACAGATTGGCATGCATCGCCCAGGCTGCGCCCCCTAACAAGCTTCATAAGAAAAAAGTATGGTTACTCCGTACCCGCAGGATTGTCAGCACTAGCGTGAATTGCCATAGACCTCTGGAACGGGTATTCCATGCGAACGGAGATACTCCACAGTATCCACTTCGCTTGCAATGACCAGTTAGTTAGTGACCGTGACTGAGTCCCTGGACATGGAATGCGGGCTACAAATTAAAAATTGTACTGCATGGTGATTAAGAAGGTCCTATTGAAGCCTGCCTCGGCAAGCTTTGTAAAGCCGATCACATCTTCCTGCTTCTGACGATTTGATGAAGCTGGTAAGCGCTTAAGCTCTGGGACATAAAAATTCCGATTCCTCTCTTCTAGTCGTATGCGCTCATTGTAACTATAGATGCCAGTCAGTATAATTATTGCGAATTGTCAACAGTGCGCCTGGAACATACATCCAACGCCCAGTAGTCGAACAGGTCAAACGAGTAGAGCTGGTAAAATTATGGACTCTAAAATGGCTTGTCTTTTATTGCAACAGGATGAGGCGAAATAGCCTGACATGGGGGCCAAAATCCACGTTTTCCCGTGCTTTGATCTGGGGAGGATGTCGCCAGTCATGTTTACGGTGAGAATTCAAATCAATAATGATACTTTCTGCATCTTAGGCAAAAATCCATGCGGCCTTAACCCGATGCGGGAGAAACTAGGGGCCTGCCGCAAAAAGTAAAGATGATGCTGAAACTGTGCACAGATGGTGGAGTGGGTGGTCAGACTCGACTCAGCCTTAGGATTAGGATTTCCAGTACAATGGAACACGTAGTTCATGCCCTAATTCCAACTTTGATTGTCCTGTTCGGGTAGTTTACTGCATCTACTATTGGCCTGTTCGGATAACTCTGAGCACGGCCCTCATGAGCTGTCAAGGTTCACCTTCTTGGTTCATAGGTAATAATGGTTTGCAACATACCTACCTCTAACTCAACGGCACCAAAGACAAGATAGAGAATAATATGGACGTAGCATCTTATGATATAGCTGAAATATGATTGTATTTGTATCCCGTCTTATATATTTGTATTTTCATCAAGGTATCCTCTCCCAACACATAGAAAAACCAACAGGTATCACTTTCGCGCTGCAATAAGAACAATAAAATAGGTAAAGAAAAAATGCACACGTGCGTAGTCACACTCAGAACAAAAAGAATCGTCGCAGCTCACTACAGAACTCGACACATTACGCGACCTCAGCCTTTGGCTCAGAGTCCAACTGGGCCGGGGTCAGGCGCACAAAGTCAGGCTCAAGCACAGCCGACATACCCAAAAACATTGTGATGGCCATAGCAACAATCTCTTCCAGCACATCCATGACAAGGTAGATGGTGGGGCTTCCGTTAGTGCTGATAATGGAGAACCGCTCGATAGTGGTGAAGTCGCCGATCGCTGCGTAGACAACGCGGACCAGGATGAAAGGAGTGGATAGGATGATGGCGAGGAACAAATTCTTCTGGAAGGCCTTCAGGTGACCCATCTGGAGGTACATGAAAGCGGCGAGCAGATGATAGACCACAAATAGAGCGATAAAAATAGCCATGGATGCTTTGACGGTGTTGCTTGGCTGGTAGCTGCCTCCGTC